TCCCAGAGAGTATTAGGTAATTATAATTAATGTGAGTTTGGCAAGCATCAAAAGCCCACTGAATGCTATTTCCCCCAGTAGAAGTGCACTGGGTATGTTGGGAGGATGGCCAGATTTGCACTTTACTCAGTGAAGCACTCCAAAAACGTGTCTCAGCCTCAGAAAACCTGAATATTCAACCACAAATCCTCCACTCCTACACCAGCAGAGGGCAGGGGGCAGTGGACAGCCTACATGGCTCCTTGGGGGTGAAGGCTAGAACCTAGGGATAATAACCCATCCTTCCTCTCCTTCTCTCAGCAGGGACAACACATTTACGCACATGAAGGCCACTGTGAAGTGACAGAAAGACACTAAAACTCTGAGGAAAAAGGAAAGGCTGTAGAAAACAGAGAAGGTAACAATGACACTTGGCTGCTGCCTGACTCTATAGTTATTCACTTAAGAGGGGAGGGGAAGGTGACCAGAGGAACCTCTAATCCCTTACTGTCCTCAGCCCCCACCTTTGGACCTTTGCAGAATTCCAGCAACTTCCCACATTATTTTATAAGGAAACAAGCCAGAGTATGTGGCTAAGCCCACATACTGAGTTAGTAACAGGGACCAGAACAAATGATCCTCAGGCCCATACTAGGTTCACAATTTATCCCACTGCCCCCTCTCTCTCTAGTCCTGAGAGTCTACTCACCATCATGGATCTGAAACTTCCTTACAGTACCCAGGGGGCAGCTGTAGGACAGCAGGCTAACATTACTGCTGTCATCTTCTCCCTTCTAGTTGTAAATTTTACACATGAATCTAAAATTGAATAAAACTAGGGGTTTTTTTATAGAACTCATGTGAAAACGCTATTGCCACTCCTACCCCTCTACCACTGCCTAAAGGAAAAGGGGGAGAAGGGAGGAAGGGAAAGAAGGAAGAGGCAGAGAGAAAGAAAATACCTCTCCAAGAGATATTTTATCTAAATCATCATCTAGATCATAAAATGTTATTGCTGGAAGGGACCCTGGGGGTCATTACGTTACTTTCCATCGTTATTCAGATGAATAAGCCTGGACCTTTGCCACCTGACAAAAAGACTGAAGCACAGAGCAGGGTCTCCTGACTCCTGTCCGTAATAAAAATCCCTTCTGGTCTCTTTCTCCATCCTGTCCCACCCTGACCTGCCTCACCCCACTCTCTCCCTCCACCACTGTATCTAAGTTACTGAGATTTGCTGTGAGCTACTCAAGCTGTTTTACTCATCTTTGTTTTCCCAGCATCTAGCAGAGAGTAAGCAGAGGTGACTTAGGAACACACTAGCACATGGAGAGAGCAGTGCGAAAGGACACTATTTAGAGAAAAAGTAAGGTTTCCTTAGCTTAACATAAGCAGTATTCAGAGCTGTGCAGGGCTTGGATGTCTACGAGCTAATAGATTCTCTTTTCCAAAACTGGTGTTTACATCATCCAGTTCAGCCAGGTATAGTTACATTTCTGTGCCATATTCTCCCTCACTACTGCTCCCTCCTACCCTGGCCTTTCCCACGAAGAACGAGAATAACTAGAAGATAAATGAAAGCAAATGTAAGACTCTGCATGAGAAATCCTCCCCGCTCTCTCATGTCCTCTTTCTCCTGTGTCCTCACCTCAATAAACATGGCATCCCCATCTATATTATGACTACACCAAGGAGAAATCTAGAAGTCATCCTTGATTTCTTCCTTACTCTCCATTCCAACAATCTTTTTGTCGTATCGTTCAATTCCATCTTCTACACACACACACACACTTCATTTAAAACACCATCATCTCTTGCCGGCATTACGGCAAAGCCTCCTAACTGGTCGCTTTGCCTTTGGTGTTCTGGCCCTCAAATACATTCCCCAAGCAGGTAGCCAAAGATAGCTTTCTAAAATGCACATGGGATCATGGTCCCCTCACCTTGATGAAGTCCAAAATCCTCAACCTGGGCAACAAGGCCCCCTTCATGACTTGGCCTCTGCTCTGCCTATCTTGGCAGTCTCATCTTTTGCTACACCCACTCATTTCATGCTTTATACTCAAGAAATCTTGAGATACTCATTTAAACCCCTGGCCCTGTTTCCTCACCTGCAGAATGAGAACAGCAGGTACCTCTCAAGGAGGTTATGGGAAGAAATGAGCTAACACAGGTTAAATGCTTAGGATAGTACCTGGTAGATAGAGTAAAAAGGGCCAAAAGTTTCAGTTATCACCCCCACCATCTCTAGACTTGCTATTTCTTCTATTTAGAACTGTCTTATCAGTCTCCTCTTTGACTCCCCATAACTCTTCTTTTCCTGGCTTATGTCTATTTTTTTTCTTGAGGTCTAGGCTTAGCCAACTCCTCTGAAGAAGTCTTCCCTGATGTCACCTCCAAGGCTGAGTTACTTACCATTCCTCTGTGCTCTCATGGTTCTTGTCCCTGTCACAATACTTCTCACACTACCTGTTGCCTTGCACGTCTTCTCCACTAGGCTGTATAAACCCAAGTCCTCAAGTTTAGTACCGTTCCTGGCATGCTTAATAATTATTCAGTGAATGGAAATTTGCCAATAATGAGGTGCCCAATGAAACAGAATCTCAACAGGTAGCATTTCAAATGTTAGCCAGGTGGTTGGCTGGTCAATATGACTTTAATACCCCTCAACTAAAAGAGTCTATCCTATAAATAATTCAACACACTCTGACCTCATTATCACTCAGGGATTTGGACTTTAATATAGACCATTGGATTTTTTAAGGAAAGCACAACACATTCAGATCTGTTTGTTCTCTTATTACCCATCTCCAGAACCCACCCCCATCTCACCCTCCTGTTGGTATCAGGACAAAATTCTAACTACCTTTCCCAGACATAAACATCATACATACCATCTCTCCACACCTCTCAAATATACGGACACAAAAGTCAAAACAAAGGGAAATTTGAGAAGTTAAATACAGCATTAAACTCCATCTTAACCACCTGGAAGCAATGAGCAGCCATAAACACCCTCTAGGAACACAAAAGCTAATCTCTCTTGTGTGTCTTTACGGAAAGAGGAGGGCACAAAGAGGGAGCATTTCATAAAGGTAATCCATTTAATCGTCCTCTGAGTAGTTCTGATCTGAGCTGCTGTCACAGCACTGCTATTCTTGATCACTGCTGCCCCATATGCCCAAACCCTGGATAGTCAGAAAGGTAGGTACAAACAAGACAAGGATGGAGAGTCCTCTGGGTTCTATTTCAAGGGTAGGAAGTCTCTTTGGAAGATACAGAGAAGTAGAGATTTCCAAAAAGGCTTCAGTGATGAGGAACTTCCATAGAGTTGGGGGAAAGGAGGAGAAAGCTTAACCAGAGGTATAATTAGCCTGGGTTCTTGCTCTAGGGCTGCATGCCGCACCCTACTGCAGATTCAGACTAATAATCATTTTGCATTTATAGAGTGCATAGAGGTTAAGGGAGGCACTAAGAGTGCCAGCACTGCCAATTATGAAAGAAGAAATATATGATTATAAGGTACCTAGAGTAGTCAAATTCATAAACACAGAAAACAGAACAGTGGCTGCCAAAGGCTGGGGGGTGAGGGGAACAGGGAGTTAGTGTTTAATGGGTAGAGTCTCAATGGAGAAAGACGAAAAAACGTTAGACATAAATGGTGGCAATGACTGTACCACAATGTGAATGTACTTAATAACACAGTACAATTAAAAATGGTTAAAATGGTAACTTTTATATTATGTATATTTTTATAAAATAAAGCACACTAGCTGTAAAGTTATATTGTCTGCAGGAGTCAATTACATGACCCTGAGCAAGTCATGTAACCTCATTTATACAGTTACTCTGAAAATTAAATGAGATGCTCCACATAAAGTCCTTAGTCCAGTGACTGGTACATGGTAATTACTTAATGTTAGCTACTGTTCCTATTCACAGCTACTATAATAAACTTTCACATTTCTCATAGTCCCCACACAACTGTGTGAGAGTTTACGGATAAGGAAACTGAAGTTCAGAGATCCACAATGAAGGGCTTAGTTCATGATATCACATCAAATTCTCTGCGCATGAGGTGTCTTCTCAGCACTTATTAATTTGGTGATCTTAATAAGGCAAGTACCCTATCCTTGCTGTGTCTCAATTTGTCAATTATAGCTACAAAAAGGAGATATAAACCAAGCTCTCGAACTCCTTCACAGGACTGGGTTAGAAATGCAATCAGAAAATCGTTGCAGAAGAGTACTACAAGCCATTAATAAAGTATTATACAATAAAAGTGGTGACTTATTAGAGCAAAGCTTGGCCACCTTTTAATGCTACATGTGAAGCACGGAGAGTGGCTGGGATTACAAAACTTCCTTGTGATTTCAATTTACTCAGGATTCCTGGTCTTAAGGCCTGCATAAGCAGTTTAGTACTCTTTCAAAAGGTGGCAAGGTAAGATAGAAAGAAAAATATTACTGGGCCGAAGGCAGAAGACTGGGAATCCTAGTTTTGATTCTGCCACTAATGCAGTCAGTGAATTTACACAACTTACTTCCCCTTTCCAAGGTTAGCAGAGAAAGTGGGGGAAAAGCAGATAAAAAAGTTAGGCCAGATGATCTGTAAGACTCCTTCCAGCTCCTACATACAACTCCTAAACCCAGAATCTTGGAAAAGGGAAAACACAGCAGACCTCCAGACTCCAAAAAACTAATGCAAACATCAGGAGACACCCCAACACCTGGCCTAAGAACTCCCCTGCCTGATTTTCAGACACTCCCCACACCGGAGATCAAACACAATGGAAAAGTAGAACACTTGCCAAAGTTAATTTTAGTTCACTTTTACCCCCCTGGGCCTTATCTGAAAATAGGAGAAATAAAATCCTATTTGAAGGTAGAGAGCTGAAGCAGTTGACTTGAGCCATTTGCTGCTCCCCCTCTGCCAACTAGGAGCTATAAATCTAAACACTATAGAGAATATGTCAGGTTTGTCGGGGGAGGAACATGCCATAAACAAAATAAAGGACGGACCTCACTGTTTATAATGATTAAAGCTTTCCTTGAGCCAAAGGAACTTGAGTTGTGCTTGAGGTCTGGAGTCTTCTCCACCCATCAACTTATAATGGGCAATGCTTGCAAGAAATTCCTTTCCCTTGGACCCCCAGTAGCCTTAGAACAGGATTTCATCCATAATACAATGGACAGTGGCCCAGGAATCAGGAAGAACGTAGTTATGTCTCCAACGGCGTGACCCAAAGTTAAGTCAAATTCCCTCTGCACAGAGATTATACAAGCTCACACTAAGTAAATAACACGTGCTAGCAACCACGGCTTTACACTTCTGTGGCTACTGTGATTTGAAGCTAATTATTTAACCTCTCTGCGCCTTGATTTCTGCTTTTATAAATTAGGGTAAGTCCAGAAGGTCGCCGTGGGCACTAAATGAAATTAAGACTTATAATTATAAAGTTCCTGAGTCAAATCCATTAAATGTTACCTTCTGGTATTAAATACTTCTCTCACATATTAGTTTCCCTCCCTGAATCCACAAACACCCTTCAAGGCGACTTTCCCCCGTTTCACAGAGAGGAAAACTGAGGCTCGGCGGCAAAAGGGGCTGCGTGAAGAGCAAACCACCGCCCCAGCTCCAGGGCCTGTTGGTGATCCTCTCCAAGCCCAAGGTGTGCAAAGAGGTCAGGACCCGCAGAAGTGGGGGCCAAGGAGGCGTTCAGGCCCATGAGGTGCGAAGCAAGACCAGTTTTGCGCGCCTCCGGTGCCCGCAGACCCAGCAAGGGAGAGAAAGCCGGAAGAAACTCCGAGACCGGGCCAGAGCCGGAGGCCCGCCTGCTCCAGGCCTCTCCCGCGCGGCCTCCGCTCCCCACCCTCCTCCCCTCGCCGGGCGGGGCGGGGCGCGAGCACAAAAGACTCCAACTTCCGAGCGGGCGCGGGCCCACCCCGCCAACTC